AAAAAGAGATTGAAAGATCAATCCCGTATGTCCTGCATTAAGAATAATTTAACATATATTTATATATATATAATATATATATTTATATAAATTTGTGTGTGTGTATGTTTGTGTAAAAATAAACAGGGTGCGATGGGTAAATTGATTATTACAATTTTAAAAATTTTTGCGCTTTCAATTTTTTTTTTTTTTATTTTGTCGTACAGTATAGTAGGGTATAATGGACACCGTCTAATGAGAAAAAGAGCACCATGACGCAATTCACTTTTGAATTTGGAAACGAAATGCTGAACTGTTTGGTATTCGAGGGGGGTGCTTCTTAATGAAAATTTCAGATTATTTTAGTGTTAATCTGAGGACAATATATTCGAAAAGAATTGATGAGTCTAATGGTATTACAAAATTGTTTGTCGTTCGCTAGTGATACGTCCATTCATCTTCCCTGTGATTTGAATTTGTGCTTTGATCCATGTAAAGAGGCCTTGTTCATTGTTTGTGGCTGCTCGATGAACTTATGTCTAAAACAAGACGCTGCACCATGCTACACAAGACAACCCAATCATGGTTGTCAGACAATTTCTGACCACATCACCCCTTAATTCATTTTAACCCTCCACCAGACAGCAATTTTCTTTAATTATTATGTGTAATTACAGATGAATATAGACCAACAAAAATAAATATGAATTTAATGAATTGAAAGAAAATTTTGGCATACATATATAAGAAAATAAATAATATTTAAAATGTTGCAGGAGATTCTGAAAATTGGTCTAGAGGCCATAATTTAAGCCATGGTAATTTCTATTGAATAAAAACATTGTTTTGTATTTCAAGATATTTTTGTGTAATTTTGTTAAATATATATATGTTAAAATATATAAATATATATATATATATATATATATATATATATATATATATATATATATAAGTATGTGTGTCTGTCGTGTGTTATATGTGTGTGTCTTGTGTGTGTGCGTAAATATAGATTTTTTAGAAATATTAGTTTTTAAAAACCCGAATTTATTTGGGTTAGACTGCTTATTTAAAGCTATAGATATGTTATAAAAATATTAAATTGAGATTAAGAGTTTAACCATTTTTAAAAACATATATTTTCAAAAATTTAAACGTAAATTTTTTTTATAAAAAATATATATATATATATAGAGAGATTTATAAGACATTTTGTCATTTTACGTAAATCAGTTATCTCCAAAATTTTGGTAAAAATGAGTATGCATGATGAATAAATATCAAAATATATTAAATAAATTTTATCATATAAATATTTATATATATATATATATATATTATAAGAAATGATGATATCATTTTATGATGTTATTTTTTAATTTTTATTTTTATTTAAAGATTAAAACCTTCCAAATTTTGAAAAAAATTGGTTATTCTAATAAATATGATTATAAAATTAATATGAGAAATTTGATTTTTTTTTAATTTTTGAAAAATTCATTTTTTTTTGGACATCTTTTTTTTTACATTTTATTTTACTAATTCATTTATTTAATTTTCTAAAATTTTTTTTTTTAAAATCATTAATGTTTACATAATGGTTATAAAAAATACGTTCTTGGAGAATTTAAATCATATATATTTTTTTATGCAAATAAATGACTCCCATTACAGAAAATTGAAAATAATAGTAATAAAAATTATTTATGTCTTTCCAGTATTTTAAAATATATAATAAATTTTTTATAAATAAATTTTTTTTCAAAAAGTTCTGGAGCTTAAAAACCTCATTTTAACTTGATTATTCGGGTAAATGTCCAATTCTGAATTTAAGACCAAAATAAATGTCTATGCGTATCTGCACGTAATTTATATCAATTTTAGTCTTTGCAACCTGAAACCCGATAAGACAACTTTTACTATTATGCCTAAAATTATAAGTCTGATAGATTTGAAATCAAATGGTAAATGAATAAAAATTATATTTTTATATATTGGTAATGGGGTTTGATGATTTCTTAATTTTAAAAAAAAAAGAAAAGCTAAAAATATAAATTAATTTTTTGTAGAACCTTTTTTAAAAATCAGCATTAACTAAAATATCCATTGGATTAAAAATTTCTTTTCAGTCTAACGTTTTCCAAAAAAAAATATATTTAACGATTTAAATTTTTTAAGTTTTTTTATCTAAAACATTAGAAAGATTCTTGAAGAAATCTTAAAATATTGAAGAATCTGCAATGCTATCGGTACTAATCTATATAATCTCGACTTCATTTTTTATCCCTCCAATTGTATCATTAATGTCTTTTAGCATTTGAGATGAAATGGGATGTTCCTTTGGTATCTCGAAAATTATTGAAAAATTTTCAAGAATTACTAGATTTAATATTATATATATATATCATTTATATATTGAAATTGCTATATATATAAAATATATATTTAATAAATTTTTCTCCTGGACTTCTCAGGGTTTGAATTATTCCAGGTTTTCATAGTTAACTAAAAATCTTCTAAAATCTAAATGCAGTTAATTCAATTTTCAAACTAATAAAATGAATTCAAGTTTATTTATTTAGTAATTTCTCCTTATTTCCTTAATTTTTTTTCAAAACATATTAAAACTATTTGCCAGTCTTTAGTGGCTTTATCAATTGCTTAATAAATATATAAAAAAACAATAAAATTATATTCGCATAATGAAACAATGATATTTTCACATTCTATTAATAAGCTGACTACTTGTATCTTACGGTTAAATCACGCTGAAACACCGGTTCTCGTTCGATCACCGAAGTTAAGCATCGTAGAGCCAGGTCAGTACTTAGATGGGGACCGCTTGGGAACACCTGGTACTGTAAGCCCCCAAAGTCCAACCCTTACCTCACAGTCGGTGGGGGGGGAGGTAAACGGTAGTGTCAGAGCTATGCCGCCCGGAACTTCGTTCCTGGTAGGGCCACCAAGGCGGACAGGTCTGACACACACGCCAGCTAACAAGGGCTCTGGTGAAAATCCAAGGAGCGTCTGCATCGGTAACCGGCGGCTTCTGGTCGTTCCTGTCTCTGCGTCTGTGGGAACCCCGCGGCAAGCAAGAACGTTATCCGAGTAGGCCTGGGTACCCTACTTCTGTAATTTATCCCAAGAATCTTCTCATAACAGGAAGAAGCCGGCTCAATCCGCCCAGGGTGAATGCCGCATCAGTACAGTAGTAGTAGTATAGCTGACTACTGACCGTCTTATGAAAAAAAATTTTCGAAGACACCAACCTCCTCAGATATTAATCCAATAGAGATGTGTAGGTGAATGGAAAACATTATTCAAGCAAAGAAGTCCTCTTGGAAGCAATAAAAACCGATACAAGTAACGTTAAAGTTGATCCACTAGAAGAGTTAACAAAATCGATAGACGAAAAGCAGATGATTGATATTGAGTATCAAAAAGCCCGGATTAACAGGTAACAATAATGTATGGTGTATTGTGTTAATCGAACAGACGTTTCTGTGGCCTATATCTTTTGAATTTATTCATAAATCAATAAAAAAAATGTATGTTACCCCGAAGTTGTTTGCATAATAATACCTGAAAGAACCCAAAACAGTCATTATAAATATCTGTAATAAGGATAGATATTATAAACTGAAATAAGGTAATAAAAAAAAAGAGATATTTTCTTAACTACTAAGGAACAACAATTTGGATAGAATCAAAATTCTTGCATCAGCTGAAGATTTTCAGCATCATTTTCAAAACAATTAAAAGAAAGTACAGTGAACTCAAGTAATTTTATTTATTTTAGATATCTAGAAAATCGGGAACTTTTCCTGATGCTAGAAAAGTTTCAGCCAATTCTCATATTTATTTAGATAGCTATATTCATTTTTCTGAAAAGTGAGTTGACTATGTCAGATGGATTCGATATTTACAAATTTTGCTTTTTACTGAAAACTGACCTGAAACTGTGCAATATATACGATTTTATTTTTTATATAAGATTTTATAAACGCTATCTTTTATATAAAATTTTATAAACGCTATTAATTTTATATAGTATTTTATAGACGTGATAAGTTTAGTATTTTATAGACGTGATACGCTATAAATATTTATATAGGCTGTTACAGACATCATGTTTATATATAAGATTTTATAGACTGGAAGTTTTCATATAAGATTTTATAGACGCTAAGAGATTCTATGTAAGATTTTATAGATCCTTTCAATTTTTGTATAAGATTCTATAAACACTGCAACTGTTATATAAATTTTATAGAAAGTGAGATAAAATAGACAATATAATGTTTATATCAAATTTTATTGACTATCTTTTTAACATTCCCACAGAACCGCCAGTAATCACGAGAACCAAATTTGTGAGAGACTATACGACGTCTCATTCTGTCAGCGAACAACGGTTTAGCCTCGTTAAGGACACGCTTACACTTATTACGAGCATATACAGGGAGGTGTATGTTATGAGCCGAAATATCATGTTAGTATAGAAGTGATTTCTGTGGGTTATAACGGCTTAACAGGTAATAGTGAACTACGGAAAAGATTCTGATTTCACTTGAAATTTTTACGATGGTACTAAAGCTTCAATGCCGGCTTTCACACCGGATCAGTTTTATATAAAATTTTATAAAAGCTATAAGTTCTATAAACGAGCTTACAGACGCTCTAAAGTTATGTAAAATTTTATAGATGCTATAATGTTAAAAAAATATAGCCGTTATGAAGTTTATAGAAAATTTTATAGACGCTATAATAAGAATGAATGTATTTATATGTATATGAACAGAAATTTTCACCAGAACTCACTTTATCTAATCAGAAAATAATTTGTGATGAGACCTCAAACCTCCCGAGTCTTTTGTTCTCTACTATTTGAATCAAACTAGTAATTACCAGTTTTTAGGTTAGTTAATATGTATTTTTCATCGCTTTGTAGTGGATATAATTTAATAAAGAAAATCTCAACAATAAACGTTAATGAGACAATGCTTCAATCTGTCACTTACCTTCACTGTTAACAGCGGCAAATTTGAGGTCGCTGCAAGAATACGAAACACCATTCATATTGCGTTGCATATTGAGTCTGAAAAATATATTTAAAAAAGTGGAAAATATATTAGATATTTTGAGACATAAGAAAAGTTAAGTCTAATAACACGAAGAGTATAAAAAATGTTATAATTTTGGTTATTTCGATAAAGAGCAAAAACAAAACAAAAGAGAAAAATGGTTTTGATACAATCAGATAAATATGATGAAAAGAAAATCGATTACTAGCAAAAAAAGGAGAAAGACAGAAACAGTTTTTTTTTTTTTTTTTGAAAATGCTCCAACGCGTGTCTCCCGATTAAAGATCGACTAATTGCGTACACTACATCAGTGTTTCTTAACATTTTCTTCCTTGTGGCTCATTTTTGGTGTAAAAAGAAAATTTCAGGCCCACATAAGCACAAACACAAATTCCATGTAACAGGAAATACATTTTATTTACAAAATCAAAATCTAGAATAAAATATAAATCCCAACTAATGACTACACTAGCTCCTGGTGTCTATCTATCAGCTTGCCAGGTTGAACTCCCAAGACTTGGTTCAGCATCACGTGTACAAGGGTGGGTTGAATAGGATGACTATGAAGTATTGATGCTACAGCTATGAAATCTTGTATGCCTTAATTTCAACTCTTCTTATTAATAACTGCATTGTTTATTTCCAGCTAAACTGGCATCTGACTGTTCAAAGAAGACTGTTCATCCTGTTGGTCAAAAAAGTTACCAACAGTAAATATGACGTCATCATAACTGCGAGACCGCTTTCCAGTCAAGATATTTTTCATGTTGGAAAACAGATGATAATCAAATTATGAGAATAGGGAGTTTGTTGACCCTTGAAATATCTGGTTAAGACTTGGAAACAACTCGTACTACACAAAGCATAAGCTACACAGTAACAACAACAACACTAATAATCATAATAAAAACATTAATAATTCCCGTGTGACTTCTAAATCCAAATCGACAGTAATAAGCCTGATATTGCTGTGGTCGTTAAAGTCAACGGAAAATGCCCTCTTGTTGCTGTTGCATGCCCAGGAGATCAAAATCGTGTTGCGATATCGGCTGAGAAACTGAGTAGATATACAGATCCCCTCACTGACATGTTACGTTAGTGGGGTTATGGGCACTACCATAGACCCCATCATCATGGGTACGTTCGATTCCATTTTCCGGTGCTTTAAACTGTAACCATGAAATACTGGGATTCAAACCCTTCAGAAATAATCATTACTTGGAACTATCACCATCCTGTGAAAGGTACGACTCGATGAAGAGAAATGTAAGCTCTCCACTATAATGTAGTATTGTGCGAACTAAATAATAATAATAATAATAATAATAGTGTGAACAGACGCCAGTGGCAGTGGTAGAAAATAACAATCACAAAATATTATGGGATTTCTTAATTCAGACAGATAATGTCATTGAAGCGCGAAGACTGGACGTTATTATCGTCGTTGGTGGGACTTGTTGCCGAATATTAGGGTGCTCATTTACATTTCCTTCTGTGTGAAATGTGTTCTATGTTGGATCTAAAGTGACGTCCGCAGGCACTGCATGGTAGGGTAGTGGGGTTCAGGGGATGGAGAGCTCGGGTTTTTCTTTGAACTTTCTTTGTCTTCTGGTGTTTTCGAAGGATGTTTTTTCGTGAACTGCTCTTCTGCAAATGGTTCTTTCTACAGCTTCCGTCTCCCAATTGACTGGATCGATTTCTGTACTCAGCAAGGTGTTTTTGAACTCATCCTTGAATCGTCGACGTGATGTTTGGGTAGGCGGATGTCTAGCATTCGGCAAGTTGTCCGGGCCATGGACCTCGATGGCGAGTTATGATGGTTGCTAGGCTCTCCCTCTTTGTGCGGAGGAGAACTTCGTTGTTTTCAATCTCGTCCTGATGAGGTTTCTTTCATTTGATGGAATCTTTCAAGTTTGTGGATGTCCCTACCGTAGAATATTCAGGCCTCACAGGCGTACAGGAGAGCTGAGATTACAACAGTTCGGTAGACCATTTACTCTGCGAGGATTTTCCAAAAAGTTCTTGAATTGTGAGGAATCGTGTTGACACCATTCCTCAAGAACAGAATTTGCACTAACCGTGTCAATGTGTAACACAACATAATAAAGCGACACTCAGTAAATAAAACACAAAAAACAATCTGATTCGAATTTACATTCAGAGCAACCAATTCTATTCATTTTAAATATTTTCTAAGCATAGTTTTGTATTGCACAAGGCCCCGAGGCACATAATCAGAAACTGATGATGTTAAAACTAGTGGGGCTTGCTGGTTAAATATTGCTCCAAGGTGAGTACCTACTGAAACATTCTAATCCAAGGCCACAGCAGTTGGGTATTTATTGAGGAGTGAACTCATTATATTCGCTAATTGCACCGTAAGACGAGATGAATTATCCCTGTGCTACGGAAAGAGATCAAAGATTATTCTCCAACTGTAGCTTAGTCTGGGGCAAGGCCACAACGACTGAGCACTGAATAAGAATTGAATTCACTAAATTAATAAATCCACCTGCAAGGCGAATATAACACAGGAAACATTCTACAGTCGTTGACCAAAACGTTGGTTGAAATCACTGTCGGTTGTAATTTATAAAATCTTTTTATTGAACTAGTTTATTCAGGAAATAAAACTTCTGAAGTCAAGTAAATATTATAGTTCTTTATAATATTGTTGGGAGTTTCCGTCCAAACTTTTTGTTTAAGGCAGTGTGGAAAGTTGACATATTGATAATATCATTATTTTCTCTTTTACTTACATCTCTTACCCAACTTTGTTGAAAGTGTTCAAGTGATGTGGCTTTTTTTATTTGGTAATGATCTTTGTGATTATGTAACCCCAGTCTTTAGGATCTAATGAGGGGTCTTTTGGGATTTGTTTAAGCATTTCACCCCAAGCAAAGCGGGGGTGCCACTAGTACGCAGGGAGAGTGAAAGTAAGGGAAAAGACTGGGTAAAGACGGGATTGAGAAAAAGATAAAAAAAAACGGAGAATGATAAAAAGAAGAACAGGGATCAAGGCATCAGACGTCAATTACATGGGAAGCAAGTAAGAGGAAGGGTGTTCCAATGTCGGGAAGTGCGAAAGAGGAAGCTGTTGGAGTAGAAGAGGGGGTTACATTTAACTGTTTCGACAGTAAAAAGATGGGACCGAAATCTCAACCTTGTATCACGCTTAAATTCATGCAGTCGGGGCACCAGTGAAAATAGCTCGTCAGAGCAGATGCCATGAAAATATTTATAAAAAAAGACATAGAGAAGCCACACTGCGTTGGTGAGAAAGTGACTGCGGCCGAGACCCCAAGACAGGACCGATCATATCCGTCTTTGGGTTTTGTCGAGAACCTCAAGATGAACAGAGAGGCACCAGACCATATATAGCAACAATTCGTTCGAAGCCAGTTTTATTCATTGATCTGAGAAAACGGTTTTATGCAAATAATAGTTGAGACATTTCTAAACGAGCTAGACGCCATGCATGACATCAGTAGAAAATCTCGATATGACGAGGCTATTTAAGAATATGACTTGGGTCACTATTTTGCTTTGTAGGATTTTGTCGTGTTAGACAAAACTACCCACACACAGCCTGTCATGCCCAATTTCTTTATCTCATATCATAAATTTGATCATACACCGAGGTATGTAAAGTGTTTAATATGCTAGATTAGACAGAAAGTCCTGGCTCACTTAGAAAAAACAACAACACAATTTTATGGAGCAACACCAACGTTTATTCTTCAAAATAAAGTCCATCATTCTCGACAATCTTCTGCCAGCGATTAGCCAGCATTCGAATTTGTCCTAGATATCAGCCCGCTGGCTTTAAATCAACAATTGTAACCAAACTTCATCAAAATCGCCGGTCGCGGAGGAATTGTGCCATTGAGCGGAATAGGCTATAGTCACTCGGAGCAGCATCGGGGACTGAATGGTGAATGTGGAAGAATCTCAACACCGTCTATCTGTTTGAATTTATCCTCAGTCAACCTGGCAGTGTGTGTAGCCTCGCATTGTCTTTCTGAAACAAAGCCTTACCTCGATTAACCAAAGCAGGATACTCCTCCTTTAGTTTATCATACAAGCGGTCTAGTTGCTGGTAATACAGTTTAGCATTGGTGGTGCGACCATGTGGAACAAGCTCGAATGCTGTACTGCTTGGAAATCCCACCAGACAGGGATCAAGATTTGTTGTTTTCTTTCCGCTTCCTAAGTGAGGACTTTCTGGTCAACCTAATATATTAATTCCACATTCTGAATTTTTGTGATAGACTCAGCGTATGTGCCATCACTACTTTCATTCCAGCTAAAGATCATGGTTAAATTATCAAGACAATAAGTTACATTGTTTTGTGAATAATAAAAATAAAAATAACTCTAAATAGAGCTCAACCGTTAAGAACATCATGAACTGAATTGTTTCGGTCAATTTTCATAGATAAGAACGTCTCTTATAATTCAATCAACTGATAAAAAAAATCTGTTACATCGAAGCCGATAAATTTTAATTAATTAAATATATTCTATATGCAAAATAGTGTAAGTGCATAATTTTGTTTGTAATATCTGTAACTTATTTAACAGTTATCGCCCTTGTTCTTCCGAAACTAGCTGGCAGTGTCTTTGTTATCAACATAGTGGATGTTCCAATATGTTTATCAGGATAAGGGAAGGATTCCGTTAAAAAAAAGTAGGATGCATCAATAATAATAATTGGAAAAATATTTAAAAGCTCACATATGAAACGCATCTAATAATGCTAACACCTTCAAATATACTATCAAAATGAAAATAGTTAAACTTGTATTAAGAGAAAACTCTACTAGACAGTGGAGGATCAGTTTTTATTGTTATGTATTCTGTGCTAAAAATTACTTTTCTCTCACGTTGAACTTACTTCCGGATTTTTGCTTTACAGTCAACTTTGATCTTCAAAAATTTAAATGCAATGCCAATCGTTATCTTCTATCTTCTTAATTTCTATTTTTTTATTGTTTTTGCACTTTAATATTTTCTTATATTCTTTCACACTCAGTAAACCCGTGTCTCAGTGGCTTTGTTACCTTGATTAAAAAAATCAATATAATAATTAGAAAAATACATTTAAAGACTCACATGTAAAATCGTCTAATAATCGCAAGGATTTCACACAACCTGTCATTATTTTTTTACAACATGGCTAAACTATTATTAATGTAAGGTTGATACTAGACATAAGTTTTCTATTGTTATTAAAAAAACAAACCAATCCCCTTTCCTAGAATTACTGCATATCAGTTATTAGAAAATTATATTTAAAAATTCCCGCGCGAAAAGCTTTGAATAATAAATAGTAAGGTCTTAACAAAATATGGCGTCATTTTATTACGGCATCTGTAAACTCGCCCTAGTATAAGTTTCGACTGGGTATAAAATGGGCGAATGGTTTTCTATAGTTTACTTTAAAACAAAACGATTGTCTCTCCCCATAATTAGTAGATATCTGTATAATGATTGGAAAAATATCGAAAGACTCACATGCCAAAACCTCCTAAGAACTTAACAAAATATCTCGTCATTTTGTGTGTGTGTGTGTGTGTGTGTGTGTGTGTGTGTGTGTGTGTGTGTGTGTGTGTGTAGCATGGGCAAACTAGTATTAATAAAAGATTTTACTGAACATAAAATGAGGGAACGATTATTTATTGTTATTAAGTAATAAACTGATCACCCAAGAATTAATTAACAATTACTTCATCATTTTCAATTATTTCATTTTCTTTCCCTCTTGCCTTACTATCTTTCAAAGTTTTAGCTCTAGCCTGGGCTGCAAAACACCAGATTCAAGTCTCGAGAAAATACTGGTTCGTCCAAGCTACTTCAATATCCTATCGATATTTAAAAGTAATAGTTAAAGACCAATTATTCAATTATAATTGTTAAAAGATCTTATATTAGATATATTAGCCATATCTTCCATGAAGTATAATTGAATCAATTTGTCCTCTATAGGTAAATATCGGCTTCCTAATTTCTCAAATTCGCAAAATCTGCTCGCTTCTCTTAATATGTGAAGATATTGTATAACTGATTCATCTTGTTTCTGTTTAATGAACAGAAATTTGGTTCTTTCCGCTATGACAAGTTTCTTTTTAGGTTGCAAATTTCTTTTTATTATTTCTGAAATCTCGACGTGAGTTAAATTCTCCATTTGGATGCTGTATAACATAACAGAAATTTTCCTTATAGCTTCACAACTTGCCGAAACTAGAAAGAGGTCACTTATTTCATATTCTACTCCTCTTACCTTACTGTCTTTCAATTATTTTAGCCCTAGCCTGAGCTGCAAAGCAACAGATTCAAGTCTCACCAATTTCTGGTTCATTCAAGCGACTTAAACACCCTACCGGCCAGGATGATATAGTGTTGTTCTACGTTACGTGATAAACATGGCGACAAAGATGAGGACAATAGTCCGAATAATGTAAATAGTCACGTGATCAGTATTCAACTTACTCATCGCTTGACCCTTTACCCTATATTTTAGTTCGCCTATAATAAACATGTGTAAATAAGTAAAATCCTGTTTGCTAATCCCATTACAACAAACATCTTCCCTATGAAGATGTGATTATTATAACCTATATTACGTATGAAGTATTATTATTATTATTAGAACAAATACGACATATAGAAAGATTGATTCGTTTTCTACGGCTTATCAACCCCATGCAAGTTATTTAAAATAATAACAATTTAAATATTTTTAAATTGTAAGAATTTCTTGAGGTCATAATCTTTTAGTGATACAAGTCTTACTAACTAACATATAGCTGGATGGAGAAGAGGTGGATTTCATACCTTTCTCTTTTGTCAACCATTTTCCCAATGACAGTCAGTCACTTTTAGTAGTTTTTAAAAAGATTGATTGTTTTTTTATGGCCTATCAAACTTTTGGAGGTATAAATAAACTGTAAAAGTTTAATAGGCCATAAGATATTTTTAGATTGTAAGAATATTATGGAGATAATAATGATTTACTGATACAATTGCTTCGAATTAACCCATAGCTGGGGGTAGAAGATGTGGATTCATACCTTTCCAAAAGCTATATTTGTGAATGTAATTGTGTATATAAGTGAATTTAAGGAGTCCAACTGGAATTAAAACACGATTTACAATTTCGAGTCATTATCCATTATACCACCCGTACACCCAAGCTTGCAGCAAATGGTATTCCCAAGCGGTCACCCATCTAGGTACTGATCAAGTTCAACGTTGCTTAACTTCGGAGACTGTAGGAGAGCCAGTTTTTCAACGTTTCTTGGCTGGGGGCGGAAACGATAATGAAGGAAAAAAAGTAAAAGAATTTCTATCCTTGAATAAAAATGATTATTATTGATATATCTTCGTATATGCCTGGAGGTCGATGTGAGGTCAAATATTCCATGTATGGACCGATGGCATAAAAGTTTTGAGCCTCTTCCTTTTGAGTATCCTACCTGTTCTGAAATGCGTCTTTCAAAATTCTGAACTCAAACACGGGCATCAGTATGAAATACGCAGCTACTTCAGCCACTTAAACTGGTTCATTCAAAACACTTTAACAAGAATGTAAAGGAATCATCTTTTTTTTTTCTTTCGCTTATGAAACAGTGAAAAACTAATAAATATTTTTGAACATCTTGGAGAATTTGACATTTACAACACCTACTGAAGACACGAGAGACAAAAAGAAACAGCGAGTTGCCTAATGAGATTTGTTTTTTTTTTTTTCATAAATAGATACCAAAAGGGTACTGGGAGTGATAGCAAGGAGACAAACATTATTTTGAGCTACAAAAGATAGGAAGTTATGGAGAGCCGTGATCGTCCTGGAGGAAGGAGGCACATAAAAGAAGAATAACCGTGTAATCATCTGAGGTTAAACAATCTTAAACCCCGCCAACCACTGAAATAGACGAATATTTTTTTAATCAATTCACCCCAAGCAAGGCTATAATGCCACTAAGACGCAAGGAGTTATTGAGTCACGAATAAAAATAATCCGTCTTTTTAAAACTCAAAAACATTCGTTCTGACAGAAATGTACGAATATTTTTGAGTTTTAAAAAGACGGATTATTTTTATTCGTGACTCAATATTCTTATAGATCTTTGTTTACCCAATACAAGACCTAAGAGCCACTCAGGGTAAAAGGTTTCTGAATAAGGTCGTTTTAAAGGTATAAAATGAAGTAAAATCTGCTGGATAGATAACGATTGACCATTGACATGAAAAAGTTATCGTAGGAAGCACACTCTCAGGAGTGTGTTCCACAATCAGTTCCGAGGAAGAAGCTGCCGGTTTGGAACTTCCTCTTTACTAATGGAATACGAGATATGAAGGCCTAAACTGATGTTGGTCGTCTGAACCTCGGTCATGAAAATTGACAGAGTGGCGAGTAGCTAGCAACGTTTCGTTTGTTAGAAAGGGACTGTTGAGGGGGAAAATAATTAATCACCAATAATAATAATAATAATAATCATTTATCGCCCACACGGCAGTGTAGATGTTTTTAGTCCTTACCAATGATGTAAACTAGGACTTGGCAGCTTCAACCCAGATAGGGCAGGACTACTACATTTTTGGTCTGATCTGGTTCTTGGGCATAGCAGAAAGAGTCAGATATTTACTGGAGCCGTACAAGGAACCAACTATTTTTCCAGAATCTTTAGTGATGCATCGTATATAGGAGTTCCATTTGATGTTGGATGTTTTTAAGTTTGCTTTGTAGTCTATTAAAAAAGTGTATATATGCTAAAATCTATCTATCTCTGTTTAAGTTTATCTATCTCTGTCAATATGTATCGCTATCCATCTCTGTTTAGGTCTATCTATCTTACATACAATTTTGGAAAGGGAAGAGGTATGATTCGTCACAGTGTACTTGGCATGGTAGGTCCTAGCCGTGGTTTGGTTTGGTTTGATTTGTTTTACGGTATATCAACCTCAATGGGTTATGTAAGGCCGACAAAATTTTTATTGCTGGTAATATTTTTCTTCAAAAATCTATTCCTGGGAATATTTTTCCTTAAAAGAAATCTATAACTGGTCATATTTTTTCCAAAGAGTGTATAGCTGTTTGTATTGCTGGTACTTTTTTTAAAAGTATTGCTGATAATAATTTTTCCTTCAAAAATTATTGCTGGTAATGATTTTTTATGACAAAGTATTTCTGGTATTAAAACCTATTTTTACACAAGTTTTGGTATTAACTATTTGCCCAGAGCTGGGACCCTAACAGGTGCTACCACCTCGGGTCAGGGTGGGCCTGGGAACACCATCAATTAAGAGGTGGTTCCACGCTCCTCAAAACCTCCTGATCAGAGGCCTTGCTGCTGGATGTAGTTTATCGTCATACCCAGAACGGAGGCCCTAGCTGTGATGGCCTGAAATGATCTTGGTCGTCTGAACATCGATCATGAAAATAGCGATAGAGTTGCGAATGTCTAGCAACGTTCCATCTGACAGAAAGAGGTTGTAGGATGAAAAATAATTATAATAAATTATAAATAATTCATCGCCAACAAGGCCAGGTAAACGTTTTTTATTTCTATCAAAACTGGAAAGTGAGGATTGGGTAGCTTCATCCCAAATATGGCAACAATACTTCATTTTGGGTCTGATCTCTTGTAAAGACGAATTAGACTCCTTAGTTCCACCTGTTCTAACCTTCAGAGCTAAGACCTGCCATGCCACACACATTTTAGCGAACCACCGTCATTCTCTTCATATAACCGCTGGTGACAAGTTCCACACAAGCAGCTTTTTCACATGAACTGTTTCCTTTGTTTACCGACTCCCAAGAGGCTGCTTCCCCGATCGCCATAATCTTAACCTGTTCAAGTCTAGAGTTAACCGTTATCTTTCCCCTATATCCTCATAAACTGTGCTTCTTATTCCTTACTTTAGAGAACCAACTCCGAAGAGGCTGCTCCCCCGATCGCTACAATCTTAACCTGTTCAAGTCTAGGGTTAATCATTATCATCCGCACATATCCGCATAAGCTATACCTCTTACTCTGTAACCCTCTACATCGAGTAGCTCCCGTGCCTTGTACAGAGTGAACCTCACTGTAAAAAAAAAAATGCTACTATTAATAGCGCTTCAGTCCAAACATTTGGGTTTCGTGTGCATACGGCCATATCGCATTGAAACACCCGTTCTCGTTCGATCACCGAAGTAAGCAACGTTGAGTCTCGTCGGTACTCACATGGGTGACCGCTGGGCAATGCTACGTGACAGGCCTAGCAAGCCGGCGATGGATACAATTTCACTACTTATACTAATATTTACTTATAATTACACCACTGTAAAAAAATAAAAAATAAAGACAGAACATGGCAGGAGGAGTCAGGTACTTTCTAGTGTGAACCGATTATTTATCCAGCATTTTAAGCGATGCTTCGTAAATACGAATTTGAGGTCTGAAGGGAGCTTAAGCCTCGATAGATATTAAAGGCAAGGCATCATGATGAGAGAAAATTCAAGGTCTACTCGGTGATAATGAAACATTATTGATTTGGTTTTAGAGGTATTGAATATTACAAGCCAATTTTCCCTATTGTGATGATGTGGGAACAAGGTCAATTGAGAAATCAACTGCCAGGCTCTGAATACCTAGATTTTTGTTTTGAGGTGCGTTCTAAATTATTTGAAAGTAGTGCAATGAATAGCGACCCAGAATGAGAAACCGACGGGCCGAGTTCGAATTCCAGTTGGCATCGTTGCATTAAATTATGCACAAATACTCTTGGGAAATAAATCTATTTTCTGTAAAGTAAGTGTCAATAAATACACCATAAATATTAATTCCACCGAATACTTCATATTGATTAGCAGTGATTTTTTAATGTTGATGAATCTCCACAGATGTTTATTTAGAATCTGTGAATTGCCATGCATCTTGGGAAAGATAATGGAGTAGTTTCCCGTTGCCTTCCCCATAGTTTGGAATTTAAAGTTTTCCTTCTCTTCATGGATGTGAATGGATAGCAACTCAGAATGAGAAATTTGAGAGCCGATTTCGAATTCCAATCGACCTCGTTACATTCACTTACGCACTTGAGAAAGGTATGAATTTTCCCCCAGCTATGGGTTAAATTGTAGGACTTGTGTCGGGAAAATATGTTATTTCTAAAATAAATTGTTAATAAAATATTCCTTCGCAAAAGAAAAATAATTATTCTTACACTCTAAAATATGTTTCGGCTTTAAATAACCTATGAAGTGTTGATAAACCGTAAAAAAAAAAACAAATCAATCAATCAAACCATTACTTATGAATTTGAATTTCTGATCGGAGGTTATTGAGGTCAAAACTGTTTTCTCCCATTTTTTTTTTTTTTAACTCTGCTCATATTTACAGGATAGCAGATAGTGTAGACTAAATTTAACTTGTCAAGGACTTATTTTTAGAGCAGCTCTTTCTCTAAGCACAGAAAAAAATAATTGCTAGACAAATGATTAGTGAAACGGGGCGGGGAAAACATACTATTTTGCGGAGAAAAAAAATCTTTAACACGCCATAAGCATTGGTAAGCAGACTTGACAAACAGGTGCTAAGAGTGTCATGAAGTACTTAAAAACGGAGTTAAAATGGCAAATTGAACTTGCTTCACATACAGAATTAGACTGCTTCCAAACTTTCATATATTTAATAGATAGAAATAGATTTGGTACAAGGTCAGAAGTAACGAGGTGCACCCAGTGAGAATATGAATCTCTGTTCACTAATAATGATCTAAAAGACCTACTTGTTAACCGTAACACTAAAATGAGACAGTCTACATCGACAATGCACTGTTGAAAAGCTCTCGATCTGACTAAGAGATTCCTAAATAAATTGTGATGATGGTCATTTTTTTTTCAGATTTTGCGAAGTGGGCCGGCCACCCCTCGTATGTTGTCCAAGTAGATTAGAGCGATACAATACAAGACAAGATTTTTGTAAAGTTACGATTCAAGTTCCCTATCCCAACAAGAAACCCGGTTGCAATCAGGAAGCATTCGATCTTATTTACGATTTAGATTGGGATCGAACCTATAGCTAAAGTCCTCGAAGCTAACTAGAACCATTGCCCTCCGACAAGATATATTTTTTTTTTAGTAAGGTTAACTTACTTTTCTCATACCAGTACCGGGAGGAGGGGACGGGATGCCAGGGTTTTAGGGGGGAAACTTTTACTTTTTCTTGTTTTTTATTTACAGAATTTGGAGCCTATTATGAGGAAAAAAGAAAGACAATATGATGAAAAAGTCGCAAGTTTCTCATGGACTATAATCTTCATCAGAATAAAACTGATTTAAATAACCTGACCTAAGATTAAAGCTTTTGTTTCTTGAATTACAATCGCGCCTGACATTCTATTGAACATTTGTGTTCATTGAAGTTTGCTTCAGTTTATTTATCTAATAATTAGTTATGAATTAAAACAAATTACTCTACATATATATTCAAGTTTTAAAATCCATCAACATTTTCTATTGCTATTAAATTCGTAAAACTCCTCTGTAAAAATAATTCGTGTAAATGTATATGTACTAATATGGAAAAGAATTAAGGTTTTCAGTAATATATACATATTATTTGGAATGCATCTTTTGAGTCGGAGAATCTTGGAAAGGGGTGGGAATGAGATTCTGCTATATAGTGGAACGGGTGCATTAGGCAAAATATAGTCTAGAGAGACGAGCTTGTTAACGGAAGCTTTTATTATTAATGCACCCTCAAATAGCAAGAAGAAAATCGAACTAATAAAACCGAGATATGATATACATTTTTTTTTGTCTTGGGCTCGTAAAAAGAACTTTGATACTGGTAAAAAAAATACGAAATTTGCGGCAGCGAGTGAGCGAGCAAGCAATCTTAAATTTAGGCCATCATCATCACCACCACCATCGTATTATAATTCTGCTCATCTCTCCCTTCGTTAGTTAATTCCATCGTTAGTTTGCACGACCGTTACACCCTGCCAATGATTCATGAATAATAGACTATTCCGTTTTGACCGCACGAAAATGCGGTAATGACATATCAGTGACACTAGCTGGTTTCAGTGAGAAAATGAAAGACAGAAAGAAGTGTCTAACGGCTGTTTTAATGAAATGGAAAAATTTTCAATTTCAAACCATTTCATTTGTACCCACTTCTTAAAATAACGACTAGCATTCTAATTTATGATTGTTATTGCAATATTTTGTTAAAGTTGTTAAGCTCGCATATTTAACGATGCGATAGGGGAATTTCTACGGACATTTTATTGTCGTAGAACTTGCCGTGAGCTTACTCAAACATTAACTGAAGATTCACCAGACTACAAAAATAAGAAAACTGTGAAATTTTCTCGAGTCTTTGCAGTTATTATTATTATTATTATTATTCAACAAGATATAACCAATCACAAATATAAATCGTCAATTTCTTCGCGTGGCTTTACGATCGCGAACCAAGTTTTATATATCTATATATACGAAGAAGGTGCTGAAAATTCTCGGTTTACGGGGTGATGCTAATGCCTTCCAAAAGTTGAGCAAAGAAAAATATCGTTAGAAACAAAGAAAAGAATACTCAGCTGTTATCTAATATCAGTCCTTCTATATAGCAGTGAATACTGGACAATCTCCTCACAGACAAAGGTGAGACTTGAATTGTTGTTCTACGGAAGGATGCCGAGAATATCATGAACTGAACATGTGAGCAACGCCAATGTTCTAGAGATAATGAAAACAAAAAGAACACTTATGCTCAACATCAGAAAGAGAGAGTTGAAATTTCTCGATCTCGTAATGAGGAAAGAGGCTTGGGAAATTTGATACCCACATGTCAAATTAAAGCTAAGAAACCCAGAGGAAAGCAAAGCACATCCTACCTGGAGAGTTGAGCGAATGGATGGCGGAACAGAGTTTAGGAGAGATGGCCAAAAGACAAAAGTTATTAAGAGCTACAAAGGACAGGAAATTGTGGAGAGCCATGATGTAAGACGGAGGACACAACAATCGAAATGTTGTGATGACAACAACAAAGATGAGGACAATAGTCCGCATGTAAATAATAACTACTCATCCCAGAAATTCACACAAAATATGTTATTAAAAAATAAAAATGGATACTAAAAATACTAAAAATCAAAGAAATGAAAACAAAAAATTGTGATATATATACATATATATATATATATATATATATATATATATATATATATATATATATATATATATATATAGGATGGCATTTCATTAATTTTGACTATGACGTTCCCACTATTATGTTTATTAACTAACTTTCTAATAAGTTTGTTAAACACAAAAATAATTACTTAGTCAACTATGATAAGTTAAAGAAATATTTAGCGTATATACTTGTGTATAAGACGACTTCATGTTTAGTGTGACCCCTAAATTTTGGGGCATGAATTTTAACATTTTCAAAAAAATTATCTGTGTATAGTGCGACCCCTTAACTTTTGCGTGAAAAATAATCATAAACGCTCCCTCTATACTCAAGTATATACGGTAAATATACACGGGATATTCTAATATTTCGTTAATATCGCACATATATTTACACCGGGTCAAATAAATCAATTACTCTTTGGTTCTTTTCTAAACTGGATATGCCGCCATTGTGGGAATACAGGTCTAAAACTATTGACACTTTACATCTACGAAGTGTTTAATATATCAGATCGCTTTAAGTAAAAGACAACTATTACTTCATATGATGATAGGTTGTTCAGATTAGCATAATTACAATTGTTAAATCCCAAGGGAGGTAACCGTTTTCAGACTGAAAGCAATTTTATTCCATGCACTTAGTAAACTTAAGGTTAATTTTAAATAGACAATACCTTGGATAAGACGACAGATTTCTTTTGCAAAACTGTAAAGCCTATCATCACGATGAGGAACACTGTCCCATGGTAGAGTTGATATGAAAAAGGCAGCTGTAAACACATGGATGTCGGTCGTCATCGGAAAGATTACATGGAGCATAATTAACTATGGAAATGGGAGGCTAATTCACGTTGCCATGGTTACGTGATGGACCATGAAGTAGAAATGGTTTCATTTTACTAATGGATCTCTCATTTGTCAATCGTCGAGGGGAAGTATCTGCTTATAGCTGCAAGCCATTAAGTGGTTGAGTGAGTTAAAAGAAACAACGTCCGCCTACTGCCAGTAATCAGAAGGATTTTGCGTTATGAAACAGTAGATGGAGGTGTCTCCACAGACGCCATCA